TTCTAGCTGCAGTAGACTTCGGGAAACAAACATTGTTCGAAAATGTAGGTAACATTAAAATTACAAACTTATTTAACTTCCGGCAACCATATTGCAGAATCTGTTCATGTGGTGAAACATAACAAATTCTGTATACTTTTTAGGCAAATATGTAATATAATCTTACATTAACCTATTAGGTGCATCAATAAAAGGGTGTACTTTTGAGGCAAAGTCACTTCAAAGCACTATTTTAAGATCCTTGAATTTTCACAATAAGATGTTGCCTTTACTCACTGATATTATTTCCCTGAAGAAGGTGTTAGTAGCACAGAGAACAAACGTTAAGGCTCGAACAAAATGTATGTAAAAACTAGTGTAAAGATTCATATTCGACTTAAGCGCCACCAACGCCGACCCTGGCGCTGGAGTTGCACAGCTTACACTAAGTACCATAATATATTAACAATATAGTTCACTTTTCGATGTTCTTTACATCACGCAGGGGACAGAAACTTCCTGTTCGAAATGTATGCATCCACCATGCATTTTATTACAGTCGAGGGGTGAGTGAGCTGCAATAATAACCCACGAAAAACATAATTTGATTACATTAACTAAAATCAGGGGAAAAGGTTGCACATATTTCTAAATCCTGCAGATACCTATGGGAAAACAAAATAAATGTTTAAAGTTTTAATTTAAATCTGTTGTAGCTTTAAAGCATCCATCGTAATGTTTAACAATACATTAGTTGCGTTTTCTTTCGCTAAGTCGCGTTTGTTGGTCGAACATTATGTCTCCGAAAAAACAAAAATAAAGAACCATATTGTTAATTTATTATACATGGTGTGAACATTTATCGATACTAGTACCAAATTGGACAATAATGGAAAATTGATAGATGAAATCAGGAGATGTTAGCGCCACGTAACGGTGATGTTCCCAATTATCTTTGCACAAGTTTTTGACGGAAGTTAGACGACTGTTCTCTGTGCCTTGACAAATTTGATTTATTGTAATAGGGTAAAAGACAGCTTTGGCACCCATTGACTGTTTTTGGCTAAATCGACAGTGTACAGTGTTCTCAAATGTTTCCGTGAGCGATCGGTAGTATCATAGCAAGCATCGTAGTAAAACTAAGGATCGGAAACTGCATTTCAAGGTGTTGAGAACGGTTAGAGCAAACCCAGGGCTGTCGGATTATGATATCACCAAGAAATTCAATGCCAGTCAAAGCACCGTCAAAATGATTCCTCAGCGAGAAGGACTTCGATCTTTTCGGGCTAGTAAGCAACCAAACTGGACACTGCAGCAGAATCTAGTGGCCAAAAGACGTGCCCGGAAGTTGTACAATTAGGTTGTTACAAAGTACGAAGGACGACAAAACGTACGTGAAGATGGTTTATGGGCAGCTTCCCAGACAAAAGTTCTACTGGTAGAGGTGATGTCCCTAGCAAGTTCAAATTCGTTTTTGCCGATAAATTTGCAAGAAAGCTTATAATTTGGATAGGTATTTGCAGCTGCGGACAAAAAAAAAACAGGTTTTCATGACAAACAAGACTATAGATTCCAAAATTTACAAGCAGGAGATCCTGGAAAAATCGTATTCTTCTGTACATTAAAGCTCACAATGGACCTGTAAAGTTTTGGACTGATTTGGCAAGCTGCCACTACAGCGGAGAAGTTCTACAGTGATATCGAGACAACGGGGTAGATTTCTTCTAAAAGAACATCAATCCTCCCAACTGCCCTCAATTCCGCGAGAATTATTGGGAAATTGCGAAATATTGGGCAATTGTTGAACAGAAGTGATTAAGAGAACGTAATTTCATTTGAATAGCTTGTCGGTCATAGCTTGTTATGATGTAAGAGGCTCGATAGTTAGAACAAAACGTAAAGAGCAAATCAAAACATTGAACGTCGCGCGAAAGTGGAACTTAATGGAGGCCTAAGTGCTTTTTCGTAGCTTTTATTTTTTGGTTATGAAAGATCGTCGGTTGCAGTGGATAGCTTACTGAGCCGAAATACGCGGTCCTAAGTCCTTTCATATTAAAGAGATTTATGGACAAATCGCTTGTTTATGGTGTAATTTGCGAAATTTGTCGTCGTCGGTGGCGGGTTTGAATGGTTACAACAACTCGAGTAACGGTATGATGTGATATGAGGGCCTCGGTGGCCTTAGAGCAACCGTTTTTCCTTACTGAGCAGAACATCATGAGTATACTCCTAGACCCATCCACATTCAAGATTCGTCAATCGCTTTATTTGTTAATATGATGGTAATGACAACAAAAACTTGATGATTAAACAGGAGCTCGTTGCGTAGTCCCAAGGAGTGGAGAAAGTCGAAAGTTTTCAATATCGTGGTAGTCAGAAAGCATCAGACGGAGGGACCAAAAGTGACATATGTGGACAAATCAAGAAGTTTATGAAATATAGGGTGCACCAGAAATTATAAGCACTCTTTCAACACGCCATAGTTGTTACCCAATGACGTTTAGCATGAGGTTTAGCAGCTGTTCATCGATGTTTTATATTGTTTACTTATTGCTCAATTGTAAGCTGTGAGCCGAACGTGCATTTTTATTTCCAAATCATCCAAATGCGAGAATTTTCCCGGAAAAGCACTAAGTATCTAATCCTGCTGTTCAAAACAAATGTGAAAACGATGGAGCTCAGTAGGACACACCGAAAGATGACCAAAAACCTGTACACGTGGATTGAAAGATGGACCGGAAGCTTCACCAGTAAGAATAGTGCTTCTGTTCGAGATTTGGTTGAAAACTGGGAACATCTACGAATCCACCATGAGACTGAAAAGCCGATATACGAAAAATCAGTTCTAGTTCTACGAATAAGCAAATCCAACTTGCCGTGGACGTTCAAGAACCAGCAACGACTCTAAACAGCTTTAAATAAAATATACCTACTACCGAATGAGCATTCCAAATTAACTAATGTTCCAAATGTCGAGTAGTGTTTAGTACACACTGAAAAATTGTATACTGATTTTCAGAATGTGACGAGGATAAACAATTTAAGTAGTGTAACTAAATGGTAAGTACTAGCTTTTCTTTCTATTTGAGCTAAAAACTACTTCATTTAGATGAGCGTAAAGCTACCTAAAACAACAATTATATTAGTTGTACGTCCAGACCGATTTTTTTCTTTTTTTTTTCTTTTGGTTTGTTTTTTTTTCCGTCGATTTTGTTTTCCGTGCTGAGCACCAATGCTACCGACGTGCCAGGAAGGCAGCTCCCACACCTGGACCCTACCTATCGACCCATCAACTCATGAACCGGAGACCAACGGCTTTACTTCCCATCAGAACATCCCGGCGGCGCCGACTGGGATTGAACCCAGGCCTGCTGGGGTGAGAGGTAATCACGCTTACCACTACACCACCGGCACCGTTGTCCATAACGTTTACAGAAAGATTTTTGCACATTACTAAACGAGTAAATTGTTTCTAATTTTGGCGGGAGAACCGAATAGCTATGGATTTTTTTTTAATTAGATACTCTTCAGCATCAGATAGAGTTAATTTAAAGTTCTATTATAGGGCTTGGAATCTGATCTCAGCCTAAGCTGCTATGTTGGCCATTGATTAGTACTCAGATTTAAAGCAACTTCTTGTTAAATTTACTTAAATGAGAAGAATTGCATTGTACACTCTGTTGACTTTTGTTAATTTATGAAAATTATAGACAAGCTGCTTCAATCTTGATTTGTAACGTTATACATCCAAATATGAAGTACACATTGAGTTTAGATCTCGCAGCCCAATTTAATCTTAAGCTGATTGTTACAATAAGAACAGTTGAAAAAATAAACATGTGACCTGCTCTTTTATCCAAACCCGTTATTATACAGCCAAAAGCATACGATCTGAAATAAGTTATACTTTAACTAATTCAAAATATCAGCTGAAATCCAAAAAAATCAAATTGATGTATCCAATTAAACGTCTATTTAGCCATAGAAAAAAAAGTAAAATTTTGAAAATATTCTGGCACTGACCTCAAACAATACTTATAGCTGAAATTTAACCGTCAGGTGCCTTTTTTATTTATTAAAATTATTAATTGCCTATATTGTACAAGTAATCATTGAATTTTTCAAATAATAAAAAATAAACAGTAGTTAAAACAAATCCTGTAGATCTCGTAATTTATATTAAACTAGATCAGCCCTGACCAATCTTGACAAACATGAACATAGTTCAAGCCACAGTTTGTATAATTCTCATGCATTTTTAGCCTAAAATACGTAAAGCAGAAAAAACCAAAAGGGTATCATTGTAGCGATCCAGGCACCACGTTAAACCCGTAGTCCACACTTTGGCCAGGTCTAATTTAAATAAACATAATATTACTTAATTCACTATATACCTTTTGAAATACAATAATTGAATTGAAAATAAGTAAGAAACATTTTATTTTTTTTATTTTTGAACAATAAACACAAGCTCCACAGGTTTTCCTAGCATTTGAGTGTATTTTTTTTAAACCACTTGAACAGTTTTCAGGTTATTTCTGACAAGTCAGCCAAAGAGCCGTGACCTTCAGTATTGCAGCTTTCCCTTTTGCAGGCCAACCGGTGCCCAATGTTATTGCATTCATCACATCCTTCGATCTTCAACTCAAGATGATAAGCATTTTTACACCAACCAACTTTGTTCATACCGTAGCTCTTGACGGGTTCAGAAAAAATCTCTTGTACAGCATTTGAAATATCCGTCTTCAACGAACTGTTTCATCACTAATTTAGTTATAGCTATCATTACCAACTACACTGACAACTGTTGAACATATGCAAAGCAATAATGCATACGCAACTCAGTTCTTCAGAATCCACTTCCAGACAGTTTCATGTGTGAAACGACAACTTTTTCTGAATGCCTGAAAAACCATACGAAGACCTGCCTATCAAACTTATTTTCCTTATTTTTTCCATAGCGTTCCAGCAATCCACTTAAAACTTCAATAAGCTGTGAAGAAATCAGATTTCCAACTCACCGATGAACAATTTTAGCCACATTTTCAGTCCAATCACTAACACTTGACTCGATTATTCCTTCTGATCCTCGTAATCAATCCTCCAGGCTTAGGTAGAAACAAGTTGGCACTAAACGGCAGCAGCAAAAAAAATCACACAGCACACGACTTGAACAGTACGGCTTCTGAGCGTATATTAACAAGACTTGGCTTGGTTTTCACTGCTTTTCTTGGGGAACGAATTTTCCGACCGACATGCTATGCACACGTCTACCAGCGCACAAATTAGACGGATGCAGCTTTGTACTTGGCATTTATAATATAAGAAATCACAAAAGCGCGTCTCTAACGCGGTCCCACTGCACGAAGAATTGAGCATAAAATTCCGAATCATTCGGCCGAAGCTTTCGGGGTCTCAGAGTGGTTAGATTAGCGCTGTTTGCTGTTGTAACCGGAGCCCGAATCGAGGTTGGAGAGGTTTAGACACCGGGTGGTGAGAAGAGAACAGCCCACCTTCAAAGCCGAAAGCTCGGAATGCAACCCCGACCAAATCACCTACAGAGTCACAACTCACCTCGGTGCACTCTCTCAGTTGCATCGATCGGGATGGAGCGAAAGAGAGTCTTTTCCGCGCGAACGGGCACACAAGAAAACCAGCAAATTCCAATCCGAAAGGGAAAGGAATCATCATATCGTCGTCGTCAACTGCCGTTTGGGTCCAAGATTTTCGCCCCCTCCGATGACGGCCACCGTGAGTGTAGGTATGCACAACATTGTTGTGGATCAATCGAGCGAGATGCATTGGAATGAACGAAAATTGGCGAGGTGTATGCTTTTCGTTTTTATGCAATTTGTTCTATTGCAATGCAAACACGTGCGAGGTGTCGGTGATAAGCGAACGCGATTGCTGAATAGATTTTCTGCACGTGATTAAATTCGTTGCATGCATAGTTTGCTATACCGCTAACATTGATGCTACTTTTGCTGCATCACGAATCAACAATGCAACACCATGTCAATTATGTATGACTAAAGTGCATGGTTTCATATATGTTTGGTATATGTTCTCTGTGGGAGTTTCCACGCGACTTGGATGTAGAATCTCTGTACCTCCTCTTGAAAGATGAAAGAAAATCGGCCATGATTTCCAATACTAAGCAAACTATGTTTTCAGATTCTTCACCTGAAAATCTCGATTTAAAAAAGTTAAGCTGTTATGAAAATGCACCAACATTGATAGGTATGGAGTACAAGTATATGCAAATAGGTGGAAACGTATGCCTTATCGTCCAGTGCTTGATGCAATGCTTTAAAAACTAGTTCCTCCGGGCGGCGGTGGATTTGTGCATTCAAACTGAACATTTTGATAGCATGTGGTTAAGGACATCAAGCTAAACAACTTTCTCTGTGGTGGAGCCAAGTGGAGACTAGAGATGCATTTGGAAGCTTTTGATTCAAGTGATATTCATTCGATCTTAACTCGTTAAAAAGGAACAAAGGTAGCTGTTGTTTTAACACCTTTTTCTTTAAATTTTTACCGTTGTTTGTCAACAACAACAACTTTCAACAGTTCTAAAATTGATGCTTATTTGTATATTTCTATAATATAAGAATAAATTTTGATTCAATTATGAAATATTTTGAGATTGAAACACAAATTATACTCAATCTTAACATATCGAAAACTAGAACCAATTGTTGATCAATTGAAAGCTGTTTTATCAAAATAATTTCGTGATCGCCAGGAATTTCAAAAGCTAGAAACACTTGATCAATCAAAAAAAAAGATTTCCAATCAAGCAAACAGTGGCCGTCATGTCGAGTCGTTCTGTAATATGCGACTTATATAGGGTAAATTTTGACTTCGGAACCCATTGACTGTTTATATTTATATTTTTTAAATATTTAAAATAAAAAACAAACAAACTGATAATTTGAAAGGGTAAACTTAATATTTCATTAAGATTGATGAATTGATTAATTGATGAACTGCATTTAGATTTCGAACAGTTTTAAATTCAAATTACTATGCTTGTATTGGCGCCGGTGGTGTAGTGGTAAGCGTGATTACCTCTCACCCCAGCAGGCCTGGGTTCAATCCCCAGTCGGCGCCGCCGGGATGTTCTGAGGCATAACATCTCTGATCACGCCTTCCTTCGGATGGGAAGTAAAGCCGTTGGTCCCCGGTTCATGAGTTGATGGGTCGATAGGTAGGGTCTAGGTGTGGGAGCTGCCTTCCTGGCACGTCGGTAGCATTGGTGCTCAGCACGGAAAACAAGATTGACGGAAAAAACAAAGCAAAAGGAAAAAAAATAAAATATGCTTGTGTTGCAAAATCAAGAATATAAGCATATGAAACAGATTGGATGAGCAGTTGAAAAGAGTGAAAGACAATCATCCGAATATCGTACGATTATTATATAGGGCTGATATGCGATGAGCAATAAGCTTAAGTCTGTTTTACATGTAAAAATACAATGGCTTTATGTTCCCCCTATGTGTTATCCCACACTGACCTTAAATAGTTTCTTCACAACAATTAAAAGAAAATTACACATAGAACAAAAAAACTGCATTTTGAAAAGCACCAACATTTTTATTTTACTACGCTACTCTGAACATCATACAGTCACTGCAACATATCTTAAATGAGTGTCAAAATATTATGCACTCAGCCAAAAATTTGCAGTCATTCCTGTAAATCTCTAAGTCACGTCCCTCCCGATTGAAAAGTGTTACTCCCCTCATAATACGGTGCACTACTCGATTGTGCTATACGCAAGTAGCATCTGAGCAGTCTAACTACCCTCTCTTAAGTATGAAATCTCTATCTCCTTTGTCTCTTTCTCTTTCCAAATATAACGAACGCGCTCCCGTATTTCAGAGTAGCTCCAATGTTTTTTGCACCACTTTGAGTTTTTAGTCGTTCAAGCAGATTTGTTTATTTAAATCTAATGGGGATAGATAATTTGGCATAGTGACAAATAACAAGGAAAGTGACAGGCCTGGGATTGAACTCCCGACTTTCTAATCAGTAAGTAAAAATGGTAAGCTACCGAGCCTCGTCTCTCTTGTATAACATCTTTCTGATACCGAAAACTGATGAAGGTTATACGCTAAGAGGAAGACGAGACAACGACTTCTTACGTTTTTATCTTTATATCTATCTCTATCTATATCTATCTCTATCTCTACCTTACGCACTTCAAAGCGGTTAATCACGAGCTGGTTCGAGTTTGACAGAAAAGTGTTCCGTTTCCGCCCCCGTATTGCCTCCTCTTCTCTTAGGTTATACGATATGAATTTAGTTATTATGAAACTGAAGTCGAAGGGCACCTGTGAAAATATTTATCCTTTCTATTTGATGCATTAAAAACGATTCGGCCAACTTAACTTATTCTTAAAGAGCATTCTTTGTGTCTGAGAACTTTTCATTAAATAGTCAATCTACTTTGAACGATGACTCTCTTAGCATGCTATTTGTTATAAGAGATTATATGTTCAAGGTGTTAAATGTTAACTGAAATAAATACAACAATTTCTCGAACCATTTTAAATTATTTAAATATATTCATAAAATCTACGAATACCGATATTTAACCGGCGAGCAAATCCATACCAACTGACGAATTGGTTTTATTTTACTCTCCCCGAATTCCATGAAACTTTGCATAATTGTTCACTAGGGCCTATGAACCAAGCTTGTGACAGAATTTGGACATTTTGACTCAAGTCTAATTTTACAAAATGGCGTATTCGACATTTTTCAGTAAATCATAGCACGAAAACGACTCATCTAATCGAAATGACGTTTGAGTGAAAGTTGAAGGAAACTGGATTGCCTTATCAGAATAAAATGCATACTGGAAAAAAAAATCATAAATTTCTGTCAAAAACTGAAAAAAAGTGGTATAAACTTCAATAGCAATCAGGTACTTTTTTGAGATTTTAAAACTTACGTTTTTATGAAAGCTTATCAAACTAACTGTTAAGATATTGCACATAATCGACACTTCAAATTTGACCAAAATTGTATAAGATCAAGTTTTGGTAAAAATTAAGATTTGTTTTCAAAAATACTGCTAGTGCAAAAAATCGTTTCCTATGCACAAATAACATAAACATTGCGTGAAAAAAAAGAGATAAAAAAATTGACTAACATTTGATGTTCTATGATTTTAGACAATTTTAAAGGGTTTATTGTGTCCAATATCCAAGTTTTAGCATTTTTGATAATTGAATGCTAAATTTATAAATCTTCAAAATGCACTTTATTGATATTAAAGTTTTCCGAAGCGGTGCCGGTGGTGTAGTGGTAAGTGTGATTACCTCTTACCCCAGCAGGCCTGGGTTCAATCCCAGTCGGCGTCACCGGGATGTTCTGAGGCATAACATCTCTGATCACGCCGAAGAAAGGGATTTAAAGCCGTTGGTCCCCTGTTCATGAGTTGATGGGTCGATAGGCAGAGTCCAGGTGTGGGAGCTGCCTCCCTGGCGTCGGTAGCATTGGTACCCATGATCCGCAAACACGACGCCTCAGTACTGTTTAGGCCGGATTTGGCGTCGGTTCATTACTCCAAGGACACGGTAGCCTGGTATAAAGCCAACAAGTTTCAATTCGTACCCAAGGAGATGAATCCGCCAAACTGTGTCCAGGCCAGGCAACGGCTTTACTTTACATCCCGGCGGCGCCGACTGGGATTGAACCCAGGCATTGAACCCAGGTAATCACGCTTACCACTACACCACCAGCGCCGCTAGAATTTAAACACTCACGTACGTAAACATCGGTTGTCATTGTCTCCGATGTCACAAACGGTTGGAAAGCATACCACATTCACAAACGGCTTGCCAAACCATAGCCTTTTTACCGATTTTTTCGGTAAAAATCGACTTATCCGCGTCTTCAACACTTCGACCATCACAAACGGTGTAGTACCGAGGGGGCGACCCCGGGGTAGTGGTTAGCATCCATACCTCTCACGCCAAAGTCACGAGTTCAAATCTCACCCCCGGACAAGTCACGAATGACCCAAGAGCGTTAAAGTGACTATAATAAAAAAAAAAAAAAAAAAAAAGGTGTAGTACTGATCACCACGAAAATTTAAACATTAATATCTCACTAGATTCTCTTCAAAAACAATCCCCTGGATGACCTAAAACAATTCATTAGTTTTTCAACATCAATATGACTACATTTTTACGACTGAGCAATCATGCTATGCCAGATTTTCCTTTTAATGAAATATATACACTAGAAAATCCAGCTGATTTCGAGTTGTTCCAATGGAAAGGTTGCCAAAGAAAAAGAAACTGCTGATAATAGTCACACTTACCTGAACAGTTTGGAGCGTTGCAAAAACAATTTCAAGCAGTTTTGAACAATTCTGTCGATTGAAATGGATAAAGAAGCAGATAAATTTAAACAATTAAACACGTCATATGTGTGCGTGACACTGATAAATTACCAATAGAAGCACGGACGCT